CACTGTCGGATTGTTCGTCCTGGGTAGATCATCGGTGTTCAATTTTCAAGATCAAATTACATCAATAACATTAAAATTTGAAGAAACATATATACCATTAGCAACTGATGTAATGATAAATATTTTTAGAAATGTTTTGAACGTATTTTCAAATTTAAATTATTTAATTTTCGAACGAACTCAATTTTTTTTGCATTATCACTCATTTGATACAGCACGACGACACGACATCTCCTCAAATAATTTGCTAGAATTAAATATTAAGTTAAGACATTTACATGATTGTTGTTATTTACTTGATGGTCGTTTTAACAACCTCAATAAGTTAAATGTCAATTTCTGGGCGGATGGAAATAATATATCAATACAGGTAAATCAATTTTTGTTAAAATAAATTAGTCAATTTTTTTTCTAGATAAATTTAAATAATTTTAAAATAATTTATTTATGTAACAAACAAAACGAAAATTTTAAGGGGGAAACAGCAGACTTCAAAAGATTTCAAGAGACTTCAATAGGAGACTTCGTAAGACTTCAAGAGACTTCATGGGACTTCGAGAGACTTCGAGAGACTTCATGGACTTCATGGGACTTCGAGAGACTTCATGGACTTCATGGGACTTCATGAAACTTCACGAGACTCCATGGGACTTCATCAGACTTCATGAGACTCATTACAAGAAAAATTAGAGGACTTCAAGACTTCATAGACTTCATGAGACTTCATGAGACTTCACGAGATTTCACAGACTTCATGGGACTTCACGGCTGAAGTCTCTGCTGTTTCCCCCTTGGAACAGCCGCTTTTCATCGGTGATAAAATATTTATGGATAAAAATGATATTACTAATTACTTTTCATATTTAAAAAAAAAACTGAATTTACAATAAATGAAATAAAGTCACCAAAAGAAGCTATGCAACAAATCAGATATTTTAAATAAAAGTAAACATTTATCTTGTTAAAATTAAATTGTAAAAAAATTGTTGGATCTTGTTTTGTTAATAATATATATTATTATTGTCTTTTTGTATTGTATTTTCTTAATTTCTTTTTTCATTATCTAAATAAAACAAATAAAAAAAGACTCAAATATTTTCAACTAATATCAAGAATGATCATGGTTAAACGAAAAAAATTCTTCCTATCTTTACTCTTTTTTATTGATTGATTTATTTTCATATAAGTAAACTAAGATCACAAATGACATTAGAGATTGATGATTTGCTCAAAAAAAAATCCATTACTAAATATAAAAGATATTTATAAATATTTGAACTTGTTAGTCATATTTTTCAGTTCATAAAACAAATAGCAAAGTAAAATAAACTAATTGCATGGCTAATAATATTTTTTGAAAAGATCGTACCACTATGATTTCAAACTGTATAAAAAACAAGGGGCTATAAGAGAATGAAAAGAAGATAATTAGAAGATTTTATCTTTCTCTCTAAAAGAAACAACGCTTTTACATAATCTATATCCTTCCCTGGCTAAGTATTTTTTTTGTTAAACTACTTTTTGGTTGTCAGTTGTATGAATATACGGAATCATCGAATCAGGCATCGCACATTTTAATATTAGGATAAAAGAAATACAAAATGTCTAGAAGTTCTTTTTTTGTTGTCTATGGCTACTTAAATAGTGTGAAAAAGCAAACATTACGTCTGAATAAATTAGCATGATTTAGAATAAATCAGAATATTGGAATTTTTTCCCTTGTATTAATCTTTAATTTGTCTAGCGTGTGATGTCCGATTGAAGAAAAACTATTGATTCTCAAAGTGTTGGATACCTCTACTTGCGAAATCTATGCTAATTTAGTTTAAAAATTCATTCAAATCGGTTTAATTGAAAAATGATAATCTTAGAAGCAATACTACTTTTAAGATGTCAATATAGTACTTAGGAAAAATTCTGCATAGATACGAATGCTTCAAAATAGATGGAAATGTATAAAACCTTTGTAATGCATATATTCATTTTTTTATTAGGAACTATTGAATAGGAGTAAAAACTAATTGTAACTTAGTTATTATGGGATCACTATCGGATCGTTTAAAGAATATGTAAAGTATGTTTAGGGTGTCATTTTCCTGTCAATTTAGAATAAATATAAATTATCGGTAATTTATATTTAAAACAAACATAAGTATTTTCTTTTTCATGATTTATATTTAAAAATAAATATAAATAATCATTATTTATATTTAAAATAAATATAATATATGATTGTTTATATTTATTTTTGAAAATAAATTATAAAAAAAGCTTATTTATATTTAGCAATAAATATAAATTACTGACAATTTAATTTACATATGAATTAAGTTGAAAGTAACTATGAATTGAGACCCCTACGTATACTAATTAATTATCTAACAGAAAAAAATATGAAAACTATATCGTATCTTCGGAGCGACAATCAAAATCAGATTAGAAAATTTTATTAAGAGAAGTAAGAGTATGATTCAAGTCAGGACCCACAAAAAAATGATCAATCAAGTCCGAGTCTGAAAATCTTGACCGACCGGGTCCAGATCTGGGTCCAGAAAAACTAAATTCACCAGGTCCGAGTCCAAAAATTTTTAATTAGTCGGATCCGGATTCGGGTCCAGAAGTTCTTAGACCTGATAGGTTCTACCAGAGAAACATTAAATGGACGAAAAAGAACGGATGAACGCATCGACAAGTACAGAATTTACTTTAACAATTAATAACATACTTTTTCCTTATGAAAATTCTGTTTAATTATGTGTATTAATATGAGAATAAAAGACCATGATATTCTGTTATGATTGAATTAATCAAATAAAACTTCCAGAAAAATCTTATTTTATAATCGAAGCTTTCAACTGAAAGTAGTTTTTGTGTACTCAAAAAGTGAGTACACTCTAGAATCGGTCAGTATGTCCGTCCGGCCGGCCGTCCGGCCGTTTACACGATAACTTTTGAAAGAAGAGTCCAATTGCGATGAAATTTTCTACACAGTTTAGTCTTAACAATGTCTCGGTCGAGTTCGAAGATGAGAATGATTGGCCAAGTCATTGCTGAGTTGTTGCAAAAATAGTCATTTTTCCCTATGAGAAGATAGACCCTTCTCTGCTTTCGTAAAAAATTTTTCCTATCATAGTCAATTAAAACCCCAACTATTATATACCATTCGATAGAGAATTTCAAGAGCTACAAAATGGTATATAAAACATAAAGTAACAAGAAAGCTAACTCACCTATTGCAAAGATAATTAAATGAAATTCGGTTCTGTTTTTGTCGACGCTCTAATTGATTCACAAATAGAGCTCTATCTTCCAATCACAGAGATAATACTTCGAGGTTTTCTGGGGTGGAGAACTCGAATCTGTGCTCCATGCGTCTCGAAATCTCATTAGTTGATCATTAACCAATAGAAATCAACTTATAGAAAAAACGACTTTCCTAGGGTAAATCAAGGTGAAGAGTTCAAATCTGAGCTGTATTCACTCCCAAATCCTATTGGATGAGCAGTAGCCAATAGAAGCCAAGTGTTTATAGGCAAGGTTTACCAGGATAATTTTTATGTCTGCACATTCTAAGATGACTCATCTGGCTCATTCACTTTTTGAAGTACACATAACTCTCGGATTTAAATCCGAAGTTTCCACATTTTTATAGTTTGTAAGAACCTCAAATTGCTCTTGAAAGTCAAATGCATGAAATCTATTATTCTTGCACTCTTTATTTATTTTTTTAGTTATAAATCTGGAAACTATAGATGTTTTTGATAAGATAATATATTGGAACTTGATTTTTTTTTAAAATAAATATTGCAAAGTTGTTTCATAATGTGTACCAATTCTTTTTTTCTCTGACATTTTACATCATTAATACAGAAAAGCAAAATATAGAATCACAGGTGGGATAAAATACTCTTGAAGAACTTTTAAATCACACGATCATCAATGATTCAATTGAAAGATCAAAAAGAAATTGTAAATATAAGAGCCAAACCACAGTATCATCTCGTTTCAGTTCAACTTAAGGTGAACAAAATATATGATATATATATAAATAGATCGCAGCAATTGATTTATTTGATTTATCAATGTGGAATATGTTTCAACTACTTTCTTACGGATTCTCCTTGATTGAAATAATCTATACTCATCAGTCTTGAACGTGAGATGTACGATTACTGAATACTTCCATATTAACCATCGGTTGCTCACTTTTATATAAGGAATTTGTATTTAATATAATCTGTTCGTGACCTTCTGGAATAGATTACGAGCTGGATATAAGATAATTATTCTCTGACTGTTCACTTTCATATTTTGTCTGAAATGCACGTGTTACTTAGAAAGAAAAAAGAAAAGTCTGAATATAACTTCTAACGCGATTCATATTCGAAATACCCGTTTTTCGTGTTACTGTTACACATAATCGATATCTTCTATATGTACGTTCAACTGATTTTGATTGTTTATATAAATCTATATACTTGTATCTATAGAAAAAGCATGTATCATTCAAACGAGACTTCTAAAATCCATGATGTGGAGATGAACCATTATGATCTATCTACTACTTATTTAGGAACATCAGGTATTTTGCTTGTAATTAATGATAAGAATTGCTCAGTATTCCTCTTTAAAAATCATTAACGAAAGATGAATCTTTACATAACTTTTGATACTTGAGAGAAGAAAAAGTCTGGGTGAGGAAGAATCAAACGAAAAAATGGATTAGATTTATAAATCTTTAATATTTCTTATATTCAATAAAGAGATTCTTAATAAAATTAAATAAAGGATATTATTAACAAGAAAAAAAGTAACATCTCAACTAATTTATTTTATTTGGCAACGATTAAAAATGATGAAAACACTATGAACTCGTCATTGTTATTGTTAGTCTTTCATCTGAAGCGATCTAAGTATATTTTAATATACCAAAAGTTTCTGAAAAGTCTTGTCCATTTCAACAATGAGATCCAATGGAGATTCGACAGAAAATCTTATTTATGAAAATTAAATCCTTACCTTTATTAAATATCTACTTGTTGATTTATATAGGTATTTGTTCTGTTGTTATTCTTAATAATAGTAAAAAAATATTTATTGAACATAAAGCTGATGATTATCTTCCAGAAGTATTTACAATGGAAAATGTTCGATTATTTTTACAAAATATGGTTGAACATATTAGATTGAATTCGTCGGAGGATAAAATTACGTAAGAAAAGAATTCTTGAAAACATTAGAATAAGAAAATTAGAAATTCTCATGAAATCTGCTTGAAAATGATCCATTTCTTGTTTATGCAAAAAAGAAAGCGTTGATAAATTTGGTCGAGATACATGTGCAGAGCGAGATAAATATTCGTTCTAAATGAAGTTTTGAAAAAATTGTTGTGAGAGTCATCTTATGAGTATGAAATGTAAATTGCTATTAATATGATACGTACCTTTGAAAAGAAGTTGCTTTTAAAGACTGAAATCAAATTTGAAGTTTCTAAAAGAAAATATTTTTTCATTTATCATCTTGAAATTCTTCAGAAATAACTTACATTTGCAAATAGACAAAAATTATATTAGTTGAGTATATGGAAACTATTTGAAATATTTTTAGAGAAACATAATAAAGGCAAAAAAGATTTCGTTGTATTAAACAGCTTTATTAATAGAAATATATTTCTTTGTTCTAAAGAGTAGTCGTTCGTTTTTTTCATCTAACGTCAAACAACATGTTCACACATAAACGTTTATTTATTTTCTCTATGTGGATTGTATTCATTTGGAAAGTCGTTCACTCCTCATTAACGACATAAATGTGTTCAGTTTGCTTCCAAAAACTATTCTGTCTGTAATAGAAAATGAAAAGGCAAAACAATTTAATGCATATTAGTAAATTATATGTAATTCTAACAAATACGCATATCAGTCAATTCTTTCGTGACTTTCTTCAATTTAGTTGTTAGTAGGAGATAATAAGATGTTTTCTCTTATCTAACTTTCAATCTACAAGATATTGCTTTTCGATTTTAGCTCAGTTATAATTCTTGGTGGACTTGAAGATAAAAAACGTCAATTTGAATTGCTCCAAGGTTGCATTTCAAAGTTATCTCAAGATGATTATGATGACGATGATGATGAGTTACAGAATTACAATGACCTACTCAAAAACATTAAATGGCTCAATACGACCTTTAATATTGATGCTGATAATCCTCAAGAAACAGGCGAGTACAGCATTAATATTATCATCGATAAACTTGAATACATAAACGAGCAACGTTTTATTTTAATTCAACGAGTTAAGAAAATAAATAGTTGGAATGTTATCAACGCTGTGATGGTTTTCAATCTACAAGGTGGTCACGCTCAGTTTGCAGTGGCATCAATTGTTACAGGTACACATAAAAAATAATTTTCAGTGAAGAAATTCTTCACTGAAAATTTCGAAATCTTCTGATCATAATCAAAATCATCAATCTGTTTTTTAGCGAAAAATGCTTTGCAAATTCAATCTCCTATGTAGACTAGAGACGAGAAGTCAAACTGAACTTGAGTTGAAGATTCAAATAAATATAATGATGTGCTTTGAGCATCTCGTTCATGTATAATTCATACACTAACTATCGTACTAAAACAAAAAGACAAAGAATTATTTTGATACATTTCACATAAACGTCAAACAAATGAGAATACAGAGATATAAGGATTTCTCGATTTGAATCATGTTTAAAAAGTCATATCTGATGTGACTCGACTTGTTTTTTTTTATAAACTTTCTTGTGTAAGAGATAATCGGTCTATAAATGTCATGTACAAATAACGTGTTTGTGAACAAGTTCGTGTCAGCTGAAGATCTCTAATGCTTATGTATATGAGAAATTCTAACTGAATCTAATCAACATTGATATAAGACTAGACTTAATAAGTTAGTTATGTGATTAATTGCTTAGAATTATAAAGGAGTTTGAGATCAAATTTGATATATTACTCAAAACTCTCGATCGTTGTCGGTTGTTGACCTTGAGGTTGGATCTAATATGATCAGTATTTCAATCAACTGCTATGTATACGATCGATTTTAGGAAAAAATACCTATTATTGGTTAATAACTAGTCAGTTATTATCAATTGACAGATCGAAAAGTTCGATTTTATTTAATTGAGATTTTAATTAATTCATGTCATCTTAATCGATTTCCCGATTCTAAGTGAACCATTCTTCAAAATAATCAATTGTAATTATGAAAAAGTCATTATCTTGAGAGTATTGCTGAAATTAAATCAATAATAACCAGATTTCTTTAATAAAAGTGCTTTTTCAACAGCAATCAGATTAAATTGTTTATGCCGTTTTCTTAGGAAGTTGTATTCATAAACTAAATTACTTTTCTTCATCATCATTGTAACCAGAATTTGATGAGATCTGAACAATCTGATATTTTGCATGTTTCTTTCGTCATAAGAATATGTCATTGTTGACGCGCTGACTAACAACCGTAATAAAAAGTTAAGAGAAATTAGAATGTTTTTGAGATTTGTTTGCAGAAATTTTTATTCCAATGATTAAAGAATCATTTTCATAAATTAAACTACATAGATATTATTGGTTTCTATAGGTCCATCTTCAGAAGTTGTAAAATTATGTTCTAATTCCATTAACAAATTTCGTGGTAACGCAAATGCTATCAATGCCATTGAAGTAGATGGATCGTTACGTGAAGAGTTATTCAACTATTGTTCTTCAACATTTGACCGGCTTCAAACAAAATTAAGCAATACAGAGTAGGTATGCACCAGTTCCAGTCATGACTGGTACCCAGTCCGACTGATACCCAGTCATGACTGG